CATGGTGGCTGCACCGCCTCCACCGCCTCCTCCTCCCCCTCCCCCTACAGCTCCGTCTGCCACCACAACAAGCCCGAGGCGGCCTTACAGGAGCGGCGCCACCGCTGCGAAAGACCCTGTGGTGTGCGCCGTGTGCGGGCGTGTCTTCCCCAGCGCGGCCGCCCTGGAGCTGCACCAGCGAGTGCACACAGGGGAGAGGCCATACACCTGCCCCCACTGTGGAAAGGGCTTTGCCCAGCCCAACAACCTGCGAGTCCACCTCCTCATCCACACTGGAGAGAGGCGTTATCGATGTACGCTGTGCGGGAAGAGTTTCATCTCATCCAGCCACCTGAAGAGGCACCGCACAGTCCACACGCAGGAGAAGCCCTACAGCTGCTCACGCTGTGGACAGTCCTTCAGCCAAATGTGTAGCGTCCGCAGACACCGGCAGCAGTCCCAGTGTGGCCTGTAGACTGGAGGAGTGGACGGCATCTGGAAGTGATCCTTGGACTCTGAAAGGGTGAATGATTGAAATCCCTGTATATGGGAATTCTAGCATCTTATGTAAGCACGAAGAAATGAGAAGCAAGGCTGTATCCTGTGATATCATGGCATGTAGAGTTGATATTTGTCATAGATCATAGCAGTAATATGTGAATTCAGTTTTTTCCCCCAAAGCCCTCTCAACCTTTTCTTACTGCTTGTTTGACACTGAGAGGATCACAGATTGGAGTGTAAAAGAGTGCCTGAGACAGTGTTGATAACATTTCTGTCTGTTAGACGTTAAATGGTCCGGACTATCTGGTTTACACTAACACTTGGGGGCTGACCCAGGAGAAGAGTAGTTTAGGATTTTTTGGATTAATTTGGTCGGTCATGATGGTATGCCACCAACATCGCAGTGTACCTGCACTGTCCACTGACGCACACTTTTAACACTTTTATATATATTTTGAACACCTGCCAGCTCTATAGTTGACTTATATAAGAGATTTACATAATTCATCAGCTGATGAAGGCATACTATGCAGGATTTTCCCAAAAATCTATGTGTAGATTGGGCTGCATTGAAATGGCGAATGTGGCTCCCTCCCGCAGGGTTGTGCGAAGGTGTTGCTGTGTTTATTTATGCTTTAGAATGTAGCCGCTGTGAAACAATCAGTAAATAACGTTTTATTGCTATGATTCACTGCTTTGTTCGTGCTAACTTGCTCCCTCTCCTCATTCATTCTCTATGTAGCTCGACCAAAGGTGCTCTCTGTAGCTCACTTGAGCCGGGGAGGAGGGGCCAACTTTGAATAGACGAGTCCTGCCCAGTATGTCTTCAAGCACCTGTTCACAAAAATCTATTCATGCCTTATCCTGTTGTGATTTCTAAAGCCAGATTCACAGTTACTTCTAGCTTTTATTGTTTGTTTTAGGACTGCTGGTTAGAGCTGCAACAATTAGTCGATTAATTGATTATTTGTCGACTAATGTTGATTAATCGCTAACTGTTTTGATTATCGATCAATCATTTCGAGTCTTTTTTTAACAACAAAATGTCCAAATTCTCTGATTTCATCTCCTCAAATGTGAATTTTATTTCATGGACCAAACAACTAATGAATTAACTGAGAAAATGATGGACAGGTTAATCGATAATGGAAATAATCATTAGTTGCAACCCTACTGCTGGCACCACAAGATTTAATCTCTCACACTGCAATTGATGATATGAAAGGATGCAGAAACATCCTCAGTAGAGTTCTGATTAAAGTGTTTATGTTTTTGGACTGGAAGCAGGGGGAACCTGCTAGCCTAGTTAGCTTAGCTAAGTCAAAAGGGAAATGACTACACATAGAGTGCTGTAGAGATGACGCGTTTGTGTAGTCCAACCCTGAAGTTAGTACTGCCCTGTTTCCATCGACCAAAAGCCACTGGAATTTTTCCATCGGATTTAGGATTGAGAACAAAGGTTTATGATACTTACAATCTTCACAAATCAAAACCACTTATATGATTTTTGAAGTGTAAATGCAGTCGTCAGAAGTAAAAAGCTAACATTAAGCTATAAAAAAGCTACACCACAGTAACATGACTTTAATGTCAACTTCCAACTTAGTATTAAATCTTATAATTAAAATCTATAAGGTGGAGTAGATTCAACCAATCCCTGTGAATTCTGTGCGAACTTGCAATTTTGTCCAATCACCTCAACTTTTCCACGAATTTGAACAATCACTTTTAATGGATTATACAAAAAATTATTTTTGCAGTTTTTTCTCACATAATTTTGTTCAAAATAAATGCCTAAAAACATCGCAACATGCATCGCAAGTTTAAAAGAAAAGCACATTTAGTCACTTTTAGCATCAGCCTTTTTTAAGATAAGTAAAAACTTTTCAAAAAAAATTCACAGGTGGGGTATCTACTGACGTAGTTTGTGTCATAGAACTAAATGTGAAAATCTCTCAAACTCGTGTTAACCACAGACATTATTTCAGTCATCTGACCAATAATAAGCTAACAAGCTAGCTATTTCCGCTTGCCTCTAGTCTTTGTGTTACTGTAAACTAGACTAACCATGTCCTGGACTCAGAAATGATTTAATGTCCATCTTCCTTTCTGATTGTGGGTCAGACAACAAGACTCTGCCTTTAAAGCACTTTACATGTTCCCATAGCTATCTGTTAAGGCCATGGGCAAAATTTGGAGGCATTGCTGCCGATACACAGTTTTTTGTATTTCTCTCATGTAGTCCTACCTGTTACTCATATTGTTACAGTATCATTAATGAGTGAACTCCAGGCAGCCTGGTTTTGAAAGGTAAATGTTGGCACTTCTTGTAGTGCAGGCCTGCACTTTCTCTTGTGTGATTGTGTTCACTGTTACATCTGTCAGTATATTTATTTACTACTCATTTCTCAAGAATAGACGGGATGCTCTAACGTGTTGTCCAGAGCAGTGGTTCCCAACCTCGAGGTCTGGACCCCATTAGGGGTCGTCTAAGCCTCATGAGGGGTCATAAGGCCTTCTTGATTTCAGGGGGTGCTAGAAAATGTAATAATATACACAGTAGGCCTAAATCTCAACATTTCATTTATTTCTGTGAAGAAAACTAAATGTTACTGACATTTTTACAGTTTAGATTACACTGTAAAACCAGATAAGGTCATTTAACTCAAAAAGTAGTTGAAGGTGAATAAAATGTAATGAAAAACTAACTCCGTTTTGTAAGTTAACAAAACCTTCTTGATCAAGTGATTTAGTTATAGTAGTAGAGAATTGCATAAAAAAAATCCTTAAGAGGAAATAATCTGCTCAAAATTCATGCAAATCACTTATTTTACACAAACTTCTTACAGTTACTGAGTTCACTGTTTGGGTTCACTGTACAGTTTTGAATATAATCACTTTGTCAGTTTATTAAATGTAAACTTGAGGAAAAAGGTTGGGAACCACTGGTCCAGAGGGTTGACCTTTAGGTTTGTTTCCAGAATTGGGCAGCAAAATCAGAATGTTTATTTGTTTTTAGGTACGATGCCCAATTGTTGCAGGCCTGCAATGTTTCAATCCCCCTTTGTCAACTTTTCACAGGTTGAAGCCTGAGATGTGGTAGTCTTTTTAATGTCAATCATTCTTTATTCTCAGTTAAATATCAAAGAACAAAGGACTGTACAGAAGATGTAAAGTAAAAACATATACTGTATATCAGAGAGTCGTGTTGTATGTGTAGGTGTTTGGATGTAATTGGCACTAGCTGTAGGTCGCACAGCTGAAACAAATGTTTTGCCTTTTAGTATTCTTTCATGACATGTTCCGGTGTTTTAAAATGTGTGGGTATCATTAAACGTGTAAAAGGTTTGCAATGAACTCGGCTGTGCTGTGGGTATCATTTGTGTGGTGTGATCTCATATATAAAGGACTGGACCTCCTCTCTCATCTAGACTCTTCTGTTCTGTTTTTTTTAGATGAAGACTAAAAGAGGTATGCAAGGAGAACCAGAGGGGCATAAATCTGTCCAACTTTACAGGAGAGCTAAAACAAGAAATGTTTGTTTATTGAATTCAATCTTTAATATTAAAACGTAAAGATCATTTGGATGGAACATGTATTTAAAGTCCCCCTCCAGTCAAAAAGTAAAAGAAGCAGATGTCTTTTTAAGGATTTTAATATATATTATATTTAGCAAGAAGCTCCCATCAGGTCGGCAGTGTCACTGCTTGGATCTACATTTGCTAAAATGTTCAAATAACTAGGTATTTTTAGTTTTATACTTCGCTTTCAGGGCCTGTACTTTTCACTTTTACTTTAGTAAAGAAGTTGAAGCAGTGCCTCTACTTTAACCATAGTCTTTTTTTATTTACTCAAGTATCTCTACCTCTACCTGAGCGAAGAATGTGTGTACTTTTGCCATCTCCACTAAAGATGAAAAGGACAAACTGCGGCACAGAAGCTGCTGGCAGAAGAGCCAGAATTTATAGGCACACCCTCTGGGGTGGGCGACTACGCAGGGACTACAGGTCGGAAAAAAGTTGTCCCTGCTCATTCATATAATTAAAGCACGTTGAAATATACAATATACCATTTAACGTCACTTATAATATGGAATAGTTGTTTTAGATATACCTTGTGAAACGCAACAAACAGGTACTTTGTAAAGGGGAAAATAAAATGTTATTAATTCATAATTAAATATGAAGAAATTCTCTAGTACAGTGGTTCTCAATCTTTTTCCTTGAGGGAGCCCTAATCTATCACTGAGTAAAGTGACAACCCCTGACTATATTCAACAAATACAGAACAACTGATAAACTGTACATGAATAACTGCAGGAAGTTTGTATAAAACATTTTTAGATTTTTATAAATAAAATAATAAATAAAAGTATTTTCTGAGTTTTTCTGATATTTTAAGGAACTTTTTATACAAGTCTGTATTATGTTTTTTTATTTTATTTTTAACAATCATATTGACTTCATAGGCTGCCTTTGTGACCTATTCAGTGTTTTCTTCTTCCTGATACTGGGCCATTGTTCTAATACAGCTTGTATTCAGTTAAAATACAATAAATAAAAATTCCATTTTGTAAGTTAAAAACATTCTTGATTAAGTACTTTTACACGTTTTTTTAGAATACAAATGACATTTTCAAAATGAAGTCAGTGTCACTTAAAATGACAAAAGCTACTTGATTAAAAATGTTCTGAGATGTAGGCCTACTGTGTATATTTTAAAAAAGGCTCTAGGATAGGGCTGCCCAAAGTGAAGACCATGGGCCACAGTGGGCCACCATAAGGTTCAATTCAGTTTCAATTTGAACTGTAAAAATACTTTTCAAATGTATGACGGAGTGTTAGGGCCAGACTAGGAGAAAAACATTTTTTTTTCTTGGAAAAAAGAAAGAGAATAAAGTCATAATATTAAGTCTACGAGAATAAAGT